TACTTCACCATACGGACTTGCTCAATTGGAACTGCCTACCAATCCCCCTTCAGCCCCTCCCCACCCCTCTGATACCGCCACGAGCCCCCCAACCCACCCATAGCCACAACCGTCATAAACGCAGAAATCAGAATCCAAACCAGCCAACTCAAATACGGCCCATGCTGCACGCGATCGAGCGGACTATTCGATTCCACACGGCGATCACTCTCCGCCTTCTTCCACGGAACCCTATACCCCAGTCCCAAGCCCTCGAGAATCTGTTCAGTCACGATTTTCGCACCAGCGAGTACAATCGGAACGCCCGTTCCGGGGTGGGTACTCGCGCCGACAAAGTACAAGTTATTAATGGTTGCGTGTTTAGTTTTGGGGCGGAAGCTAAGGACGTTGAAGAAGGAGTGGCTGAGGCCGAGGATGGCGCCGCGGTCGAGGTTGAAGCGGGATTTCCAGGTTGGCGGGGTGTTTATGACTTCGTCGATGATGTGGGGGGCGAGGTTTATTTTCAGGCGGGCTTCCATGGTGCGGAGGATGGTGTCGCGGGCGGTAGCGACCATGGAGTCCCAGTCTTGTGTTAGGCCGGCGGTGTGTTTTGAGCCTTTGTGCGCGTTTGTGCGCGAGTCTTGTAGGTGGCCGACTGGCACGAGGACGACGATGGAGTCGCAGCCGGGGGGTGCGGCCGAGGGGTCTACGCGCGAGGGGACGTTGACGTAGAAGCTGGGTTCGTCGGGGATTAGGTGCTTTTTGAAGATGCTGTCGAAACTGTCGCGGTATTCCTCGGCGAGGAAGATGTTGTGTGCGCTGAGTTCGGGGAATTGGCGGTCGAGGGCCCAGTAGAAGGATATGCTGGAGCATGAGGCTTCGCGTTTGAGGAGAGAGCGCGACATGGAGGATGCGGGCAGGAGGTTGTTGTATGCGTAGGTTAGGTCGGCGTTGCTGACGACTATGTCTGCGCTTAGGGGTGCTTTGCTTTTGTCTTCGAATTCAATGCCTGTTGCGCGCTTTCCGTCTTCTGATAGTGTGATCTTGCTGATGGGACTGTCGAACATGTATTCGACGCCTAGGCGTTCGCCTACATCCACAAGTTTCTCAATCACCTGGGATAGTTAGTATACGACCACATATTTTTTCTGGTACAGTACCCATTTACCTTGTGGAAACCACCAATGGGATACCAGATACCCTCTGCTAGCTCGGTATACTGCAACAAACTGTACGTCCCTGGCGCATCAAACGGACTCATACCCATGTACATACTCGCAAACGTAAACACTCTCCTCAGCCTCTCGGTCCAAAAGTATTTGCTCGCCCGGTACCAGATACTCTCAAACGGATGCAGCTCAATCAGATGCGCCAAAAAGTCCAAGCGCGCCATACTCAGCAGCGAGTAAAAGTTTCTCCTTAGCACATAAATGACCGAAACCTCATAGTGGCGATGGCTCTCCTGCAGAAATGATAGATAGCGCTCAAACCCCGCCGTGCCCTCAAACCGCTCAATCTCCTCTTTCATGACGGAAATATCCGTCGACAGCGTAAACGCCGTATCATCGTGAAAATGCACCTTGTAGTTTGGATTGCATTTAACCAGCTTAACCCCTTCTCTCTCAAGCGAAGTCCCTAGATCCTCAAACGTCTCGTGGAAAAAGCGAGGTAGAAGCAGTAAGCTCGGGCCTTGGTCGAATCTCTGTTTTTACGGTTATTATTCATGAGCTTTGATTCTTCCTTCAGTTTGGGTTTCCATTTGGTTCGCGTTTATCGCCAATTGGATTTAGAAATTGAGAAAAAAACGAGGAAAGAAACATACATATCCTCGGCGGTGAATCAAACTGCAGCGTCCACCAGAAAACTCATTCTTCTCTACAACCGTCACTTTGCAGCCCGCAGCGGCCAGACGCGCGGCGAGAGCTACGCCGCCAGCTCCCGCGCCGACGATAACAACGCTCGGGCCCGTCGCGCTCGCTGCCTTGTAGTCTCCCATCTCTTATTTACTGTTTATTCTATTTCTTTTTCCTGGTTCAAGACGCAAATCTGGTGGATCGACTTTTTGCTCGTCTTACAGGCTCGACAACGAACGGAACCGGGGTGTTTTGCGAATAGGTAAGGGTAAAAGAAAAGGAATCGTTGTAGCGCGTAAACGTGTTAAGGAAAGGGAAAGGATTAAGAAAAAAGGTCGCGCCACACACACCCATTTGTTTCCCGCTCGGGTATTCCTGGATCGCTTCACCAAGTCATGACGTATACACAAAATCAGTTTAACAACAACTAGTCATGTATGCAGGCATTCGTTTCGGCATTGCGCTTTTGGCATGTGGAAATGCTTATTGTTGTTGGATTGAACGGATGGGGCCGTGCCAAAGAAAACGTGGTTGCGCTTCTTGCTGAATGCATGCACATGGTTCAATTGGGTATGGAGCCGCACGTCTGGCTACTACTACTTACACGAACCGTAGTAGTTTGGTATATATATATATATATATATACTAGACCACAATCCTCGCGATAAGAATTTCTCAAAATAAACCTTCCAAAGCGATGACAGTCAAACATCTTGAGTTATTTCAGCAATCGTTATCATCAATGCAGAGCTGTGGCGTGATTGACCTCGGCCACCACGGATGCCGGTCAGACAGCACCCCGCGCGTGGTCACAAGGTTTCGCAGCTAACTAACGACTTGATGAGACTTGGCAGCCAAGGAACATGGCGTTTACATACACCAAGCTGTCAGATCTGGGCAGAGATGTCGAGTCATGACCATTACATTAGAATTACACAATATATACACAACTAGTCGTCTCCACTGTAGATGCTAAGCACATCGGTCGAGTTCTTATAGTCTGGCTCACAGAATTCCGTAAAGCCGCCAAAGCGCGTCTTCTTCTCCTGGATAAAGTCTTCGAATGCGGCCTTTGAGCAACTCTCACCCGGTCCATCCCCGCAAGCCAATTGCTGCGGATCCTTGTTGACGAGTACCCGGAAGTACTCGCCTGCATCGAAACCGTAGCTGTCACACGTCATCTTCTCGATGGCAAAGTTGGACAGGAAAGGCAGAATCCGTGATGAGCGCCAGACTCGGCCGTGGTTCGGCCTGTCAAGAGGCATTGTGGCGTTCGGGTTGTTGACGCCGGAGTAAGCGCTGTTGTTGAACAAGCCCATTGCTACAGCGACCGTGGGAGGCAGCTCGCGGTGAGTGAAAGAGACGTAAAGATCTTGGTCGGCATCGTCGGAGAGCAGCACGTTGGCGGAAGCGTTGAGCCAGGGAAATCCCAGGGTACCAGCGAGCTGCTCGCTTGCATATCCGGTGTTGTAAAAGTACATGATGTCGTTCATGTACTCGAACGAAAGCCACTCGTCTTGAGAGAAGAGATCCAAGGAACAGAAAGGAGATGAGCCGCGGATTACAGTCTCATAGCCACATAGCTGCTGCATGCCGACAATGTCGCTGGCTGTGAAGTTGAAGTTGGGTGCATAGTCATTCAGACGGCCGATGATGGGCTTGGTGTATTTTTTCTGGTATTCCTGGGTATGGAATTAGTCGTTATCATATAATGTGCGATGTTACACATACCGACGACTGATCACTACCATAAGAAGAGCTGTACTTGGGGCAACCCTTGTATGGAGTCAAAGAATCGGCACCACGGGCAGCATCCTCGCGCACAAGGACGAGCTTTGTGTTGTTGCTATCAGCGACAAGGCCGTCAATAAAGGAAGACGTGCTAAGCTCTGTCCTCTCCGCCGTCGACGTCCACACGCTCTTGGGGTCCTTGAAAGATGGGTATCGCAGGCGAACATCAACACCCAGCTTGTACGACTCGAGCCGGCCAATGGACGTCAGGTCCTCGAGCTCCTCGTCCGTAATAGGCGATTGCCATCTGGCGAGAAATTCCAGCGGGCCCGCGCTGCGCCAGTTGGCCGTCGTGTTCTTCAGCTTGTCGGTAAAAGGCTCAATGTACTCCTCGTAGTCGAAGTCGTTTGCGTAAATGGCAGCATGGCGGATGAGGTATGACGCACGCGTGACATTGCATCCCTGGGGTGGTTTTGGGTCGCCCTGTGGATCCTCAAAGTAGGGTGCAATGCCAGCCAGATGGCGCAAAGGATCAAAGGAGGAAGAGGACGAGGAGCCTGCGGATACGCCTAGCGCGTTGGCAGCGACGAGGAGCGACACAAGAGCCGACTGCATGGTGAAAGTGTGGCTGCGGTGCGAGCCGTACCTAGACAAACAGCTGAGGCTGGTGCCCTTTTAATGCTGCGCGGAACCGCGTAACATGTCATTGTCATGTTGATCGTGTTCGAAAACCTGGCAGTGAAATTTGTTGTACTAATTGCCTGACTTGCATACAATGACGATGTTTCCCAGGCACGGTCCGAGAGAGTGGGGATGAGCTGGGGCCCAGAAGATCAGCAATGAAGTCACTGTTGGACGGGGCTCTCGGGTAAGTTGTGTGTCGGGGGGAATCACGTACAGCGATGGCTTGATTGGTATCAGACGCGTCCCGTGTTTAATAGGGAAAAACAGTCGGTAATATCACGTGTAACATTGTTGATGTTTGGTAAGTGTGGTAGCTGTCTTCACGTGTGAGCCTGCTACACAGCACCACTTCATTCACCTCCGTCGCGACTCCACACTTTGCATCTCTTCACAATATCGCTTCAAAACCAAGTCTTGCGGTTATTTGAAAAACAAAAACAATAACAATAACAACATATACACTTGGAAAGTTAGTAGTAGCTAGCACCCGGCGGGTCAAGCCCCAGCCCCACAACTACGTCAGCCACGGCCTCGACCGCCCCACGCACTGCCACTCTCCGTTCCTTTGGATCGCCAAACACCGCATGCAAGATCGGAATTTGAAGTAGAAAGACAACGATATTGATATTCGCCTCTACCAGCGCAAAGCCAGGAGCACCAAAAAAGCACCACCATCTCAAGAAGAAAACTCCCTCTCCTACTATGTAGAAAACATACACACCTCACACTAGCCATCCAACTCACCAACCTTATTTACATTACACCCGACCTCCTCTGCAGCGACCGTACTTTCTGCTCAAGAACATGACAATCATTCTCCTTGCGGTGCAAATCCCTCATCAGGGCCTCCTTCTCACTCCGTAACGCCTGCATCTTCCCCCCCACATCCTCACGATAGTTAGCATGTTCCTCCATCAGATTCTCCAGTCTCTGAAAATCCCATGAAGTCGGAGTAGCAGCACCCGCACCAGCACCAGATCGTAACCGCTGAAGCTCGGCGTCCTGAGCGCGAATCTTAGTTTCGAGATCCGTCACCGTGCCCTTCCAGGCCTGATGCGCCGTCGTGCGGTTGAGGTGGTCGATGCCGCCGTTCTGCGAGGCGCCGAGTTGCTCGACAAGATCGGAGTTGCGCTTTTCGAGCTCGAGTGCGCGCTGCTCGAGGGCCGCGATCTTGGCTGCAGTAAAAAGGTCTGTAGTGTCGCGCCTCTCGAGAAAGCTGGACATGCGCGGCCGGTTGGGGCTGATGCGGCCGGCGGGTGATTGTGCTTGGAGACGTTCGAGCTCTCGGGTCTTCTCTGCGAGCTTGCTGCGTACGATTTGTACGTTGACGAGGTCTTCATCGCGGAGTTTCTGGGTGGCTTCGAGTTCGCGGCGGGCTTTGGCGAGCATACCCTGTGGTTTGTTAGTGGATGTGTTTTTGTAGAAAGGGCCATGTGGGACTTACTCGGATCTTGATGTTGTTCTCGACGTCTTCGTCTCGGAGGCTCCAGATGGCTTCGTGACGCTTCCACCAGACCTTCTTCTCCTCTTCAAGCGCTTTCAGGCGGTTCTTCATCTCCAGGAACTCCTCGGGGGTGACGGATGCAACAGGATTGGTCTGCTCAATGTGAATGAGCTTGGACATGAGGGCCGCGAGCTGCGACTCAAGAGGGCCAGGGACGTGTGGTACTGGGGGAGGGGGTGCAGGCTTCTCATTCTCGATGCTCATCTTGCTCATCTTGAGCACAGGGGGTGCTGCTGGCTTCTTCAAAGAGTAGGTGTCGTCTTCCTCGCCGTCCAGCGTTGAGGATCTCGATGTGGCATCGTCATCCACAGGTCGTTGTTGTAGCCTCGGCTGGTTGTGGAACTGCAGGTTTGTTGTTTGAGGAGGAGGCACAACCTGGGCTTGGACCTGGACTTGGGCCTGCATCTTCTGTGCCATGAGGTTGGCGGGAGATCCAGCTTGGGGCCTGTTCCACGCAAGCGGTGCTGGGTTATTCATCCTAGAAGGGTAATCCTGCTCGTCATCGGAACCCAAGTCGGAGTAGGCATCCGAATCGTAGTTCGGGGGTTCTGCCTGCAACTGAGGCATTTGAGGCATTTGCTGCTGCTGCTGGGGCATCTGGGGCATCGAGTTCATTTTGGGCGAGTGTACTGACAACGGCCGGGTTGCAGATTGTACAGAGGCGATGGAAACAATGGAAGGTGTGCGGTGAGGTGATGGCTTCGTGCGGTTTGGTGCCCACATATCGTGTCGGTATGAAAAAACAAAGGTAATAAAATATATATGGTCGAAAAGGGTGGTTTTTTTGTCGGAACGGTTGTGCAGTGGCCTCCCAGAAGCTGACTGCTATTTACAACGGCGAGCAAAAAATAAAAGAATCGAATTAACGAACAAAAAACACAAAATACACACAAAAGACGAACCAGCGGAAGCCGTTGAAAAGAGCGGTTTGAACCTTTTCCAAAATATTCGTTGCCTTGCCCGTGGGTTGGAATATAATATGTAGTCTGGTTTTGTTGCGTACCGTGTTGTGAAACCAGCCTGAGACGTAGGGCACCCGTGTAGCCGGATATCTGTGACGGGGGTGCGGAACGAGGGGTGGAAACTACTACAAGATAGCCGCTAACATAGTAGCAAGCCCTGACATTAAAATTTCCCAGGTTGATCACCACGCCAAATGCGTATGCGCAAAGCCCTCAAGGCTTGGCCTTTGAGCTGCGAACGGAAACAGAGAATTATAGTGGAAGGGAGGAGGGGGGGGGGCTGCGTTTGGTTCATGGGGGGGGGGGCATTAGTTGCACGCTCCTTAAGTATCTAAACGCGCATGATTTGCGCCTTTTCACATTTTGTATGCGTGGAATTCGTAGGGAAAGAAACCGCCTTGCCATACTTTACTATTGAAAATTCTTGATTGCCGTTGAAGAAAACTATACGAGTCAAAAGAAAAACTGTACCGCTGTCAAAAACCGAAAAGCCAAGAGCTCGACATGTACTGACGTTAACCCCCAAGGCCACACAAAAAGGTGGCTAGTGCCAACCTCAACCCCTCATGAGGCTGAAACCCCTCAAGCGTCACGCCCGTATCAAACGCTCCTCTGGAGGCTCCCTCGCCCGCCCCGCCAAAAACGTGGAGTCGAGCCTCATGCACCTGCTGCCTCAGCCAAGCATGCCAGGCACGACAAAAGAGATTGGGGATCAGCGCTCCGAGGCTTGGCTATAGTACAGTCAAACTATACCTGTTGTTTCCTTTCTGACACTTTCCTCTTTGACACTTTCCTTGTCCCTTTCGCGATTGTCCGGCGATGCGGAGATGCTGACGGATCGAGTAGTAAGATCCTTGTTTGTTGGCGGTACCGAGTCAGAGGGGAAAAGGGAGAGGGAAGGGGAGGGGAGTGGAAAATGGTGTTTGGTAGAAGAGCGGTATGTAGACGGAAACGCGGCACCTGGTTATCACACAAGGGGGATTTCAATATGACTCGATGGAAGGATTTTCCTTTTGATCTTCTTCAGGTATCTCAAGGGTGTGAAGCGTTTATCGCGAAAGAAAAAAAGGAGAGGGGGCTTCCTTTCCAAGATTTGATCTATGGAGTAACACTCAAACATCGTACCGGTCCGAACTGTGGTGGATGGGTGTGTAGGTGAAGTAATCAAACTGCGCTACCTTCTCTGTGCCATTCATGTCCGATGCTGCGACGCCTACAAATGCGCCTGTAAAACTACCGTGTCTGTTGAAGGTTAGCCAAATCTGTCTTTCATTTCGAGACTGAATGAGAGAGATGGAAAACTCACGCTTGATGACCACCACACTCGTCACTCAAAATCGACGCATCGTACACCGGGCCAATGTCCTTCAGCTCCTTCTCGCCATCGAGCGCGTACTTGAACTGCAAACGCGGGCCTCTGATACTAAGCGCCAACCTGACTTTGCCCTCTTGCGGAATCGAGACCGGCTCGGGAAACGGCATCTTGAGATTGCCATCAGGCCATGAAGCCTCGGAGCTCATGAGCAGCAACTCGCGCTTGCCATCAGAATGTGCAGTAACAGTCAAGTAGAAGAAGTTGAAGCGGCAGTAGTATGCCGTTAGTCCTGCAAACGTGCGCTCGTCGTCTGGCGCAAAGTCCACCACGGTCTCGGCATCGTAGGAGAAGTGCGTCTGACGGCGGGCGACAAGTGCTTGTTCGAACCAGGAGCCGATGGACTCTCGGCCCGTCAGCTGCAGCCCCGTTTTTGACAGGCGGAAGATGCGCTCGGGCTCGGGCGTGCGGAGCCATTGGAAATCCTTGTGCAGCGTGTCGGTGCTGGTGAAGTCATAATGTTGCGGCGACCAGTATGCCGTGTCGTCGCGCTCTGCTGGTAGATCCACGTAGAGAGATGGAACCGGTCCGTTCTTCACGTACAGCCAGTCGTCCTTGTCCCAGTAGGCTTCTTGAATCGCCGTCTCACGTCCAAGCACGCAGCGGCGCGCTTGCGTAGTTGGACGTCCTGTCAGATGTACAATGTAAGTCTTGCCATCTGGCGTGTCGACAATGTCTCCATGACCTGCTCGTTGCAGAGCAGCGAGCGGGGCATCTTTGGAGGTGATTATGTGCTTTTGCGGATGCAACTCGTACGGACCCCATATATCACGCGATCGAGCAAGAGTGCAGGCATGGGTATATGCAGTGCCTCCCTCTGCAGTCAAGAGGTAGTACCAGCCATTTCGCTTGTACAGATGCGGTCCTTCTGGAAGACCAAGGTCTGAACCAGGGAAGATTGTCTTCCGGGGTCCAACAAGTTTTTCGGTTTTCTCGTCCCATTGTTGCATTCTGATGCCCTTGGATGCGGAACATGTAGCGTTAGCATTGCTTTCCGCGAGGTTATAGATCTGGGCGGAAAACTAACCGAAAAGAATTGTGGACGCCTCCGATGATCCTGAAGCATATTTATAAACCACTTCTTTCCATCGTCATCGTGGAACAGTGAGGGGTCAAATCCAGAAGAATTGACATAGATGGGATCGGACCATGGGCCTTCGATCTTGTCGGCATGAACAATGTAGTTGGGGTTGTCTTTGAATGAGCCATCCTTGCGTTTGACATCCGTGTATACAAGCCAGAACTTCTTGCCGTCATGTGTCAAGCAGGGAGCCCATACACCTTTTCAGATGTGTTATTCCGGGCCCAATTGGGGGGTGAGGGGCTGAGTGGAAAGACGTACCACAACTGTCCGGGTCACCACGCATATCTAGCTGACTCTTTCTGGTCAACGGACGAGTAACGAGGTCCCAATTGGCAAGGTCCTTGGAATGGTGGATTTGAACGCCGGGAAACCATTCGAAGGTGGAGGTGGCGATGTAGTACTAAGATGGCCAACTCATTTAGTGCATGTCCTGGTATGAAGGCTGGAATGTATAGCCCTTGAATCGAATTTCGCACTCACTACACCATCTTATTAGTTCATTGTACTTCCCAAGATTCAAATAAGAGATTAACGTACCATCATCTCCAACCCTCAGTACCGATGGATCCGCATTGAACCCTGGCAGAATCGGATTCCTTACTAACGGCATCTTTGCTGTTTTGCTTAAACACTATATCTTGTTTTCTTTTTCTTGAATGCAACTGCGGACACCAGCTCTATTATCTATAGGCAAGCTAAGAAACAGATTAGCCGGACGCGAATTGGGGCACGCGGCGCTGCTCTTTTGCCGGCGCCTGTTTTGTTAGCACGTTATCGACGGTGTGGCCGGCTGACCCCGCATACGTACGGGACACAGACAAGGCAACGTAAACACAAGTCTCGAAAAGTTCTTGGCGACACCATATCCTTCATCTTCATTCGAAGACTCACATGATGCAGAGTGGAGCTGATACTTGTCCTTCGGAATACCGCATAGAGAAGTCCGTATGCGGTAATCGTAGTGGGGTAAGGTGAAGGTGGGGCAAAAGCTCAAGGCGTACATATGTAACAAGTGTACCGTCTGGACAGCGAAGCCATATGCCAATCGAAACATCTCATGAAACATACGACAAAGACGTGCAATTCACAAGATTGGTTTACCGCATCTGCATTACATTATCAACATCATAGCACCCACCAACCAAGGAAACCATTGCGAAGACAGACTGGGTATCTTTGAAGGAATTGGTAAACCTGCTGCATGCGACTCGGGGGCCATTCCAACCATTTGACAGCTCAGAAATCTACTTTGTATTTTGCTTGCCGAAAGTATGGCAGATTGACCACTTCAGCCGTAGCATATTGACAACAAGATGTGTATAAACATCTACTTAGGCCTGGGCGCTCGAGACACCTTGGTTATTTTCTTCAGCTTCCTCCGAGTCTTGATTCGCGGGTGTGTGGTTTGATGTCTGGTCGGTAGTGGATGAAGCAACGACACCAGCAGGCAGAGAGAATCCCTCTCCTTCATCTGTGTCCAACTGCATCAGGAAAGTCTCCCAGATCTCGATAAGCTAGCGTAGTAATTAGCAAGGTCCAGTATTGAGACAAAAGCCAAACATACCTCCTTTTGCGCTTCTACCGCGCTCTCCAAGAATGTCTCAACTCCTGATTTGAAGTCTTCCACCTTTTCTCTCTCAAAGCGCTCCAGTTCACTGCGCATGAGTCGTCCCATGTCGTCGAAGAGCAGCCTTGCTTGATGTACCTTGCGCTCAGCATCGGCAACATCTGCACTGAGCTGGTTCAAACGATCTTGCTGTGATCTACCCTGTCTTAGAAGCTTATCCTGAGTTGCCTTTCGCTTCTGCAGCTCTTGCTCAGCAGAATGCCATGAATGGTAGGCTTTTTGTCGCTGCTGGAACGCAGTTTTGACCGAGCCAATTAAGCGAATGTACTCGTCTATGACAATGCCCATGGTGAGAACATCCTGTTGGGCTTGACGTTCGTAGAGTTCACGGATGCGGATCTGGATGTCGGATAGGCTGTCGAGCGGTCCAGACAGGGCAGGCGACAACTCGACAGCAGACAAGGAATGCAGGGAAGCCGAAAAATCACCACATGCTTCAGCTAGACCTTTCCGTTGTGAAACAACGGTGTCGGTTGCCTTCAGTAGAGCCTTGAGTTGAGCTTCGAGGGCATCGAGGTAGACCCTCCGGTCATGGAACCACTAGAATATCGTCAATACTGAATGTGTGCAGAGGGCGGGGCAAACGTACATCGTCATGCTCGATAAATTTGCCAGAGCTACTGCCAAGCATAGAGCCGAACATGCCCTTGTTCTCTCCCAAGCCGGGGTCCTTGCGTTCCTTATTCTTGATGTCCATGTTGAAAGCCTCGCTCTCGAGGAACAGCTTCAGGTCGCTATCATGTTGCAGCACAGGGTGGGCAGCCGACTTGTTGAGCATGCGCTCCAGAGCAGCACGGCGAGACTCGACAAAATCGGCGTCGAAGCGACCGACGGCTTGTTTTTCTGGGGGTGGAGGGATAATGACACCGGGGTTGTTGTTGTGCAGTTGGTTGTAGAGCCAGAGGAAGTCGCGGTAGCGGCGCGAGACTGTGAATTCGGGGTTGCGGTAGCCCTTGGAGGTGGTCTTGGTCGTGACCGAGTACTCGGTGTGGGAGCTGGTGAGATCGCCAACCTTGTGCGGGTCGCCCACAGAGATTGAAAATGAGGGCTTCGCTGCCTGTTCGACACTGACGCTGGGCTGTGTCTGGCGCTGGGGCGTGGGGTGGGATGGAGCCTGCACGGGTGGAGGCAGCCGTGCCCCTTGTGAGGCGCGCAGCTGGTCCTGGTCCTTGTCATCAAGGTCGACCGAGTCCATCATGCCGCGCAATGAAGAAGAAGCTGATGCTGCCCCTGTTGGCCGGGTACCGCGAGCAGCAGCCTCTTTCTGGGGCGGCGCTGGGGGAGCAACGGGCTCGAGGCCAGGCGACGGTGTTGGTGCTCCCAGAGGGCCCAGCGGGTCTTCGACGGCCTCCAGCTTGGTCGACTGCACGCCATGGGGCCGCCGCCGGGGGCCACGGCCTGCGGGAGAGCGCGGTGCAGAGGCAGCCGAAGGGGCGGCGTCGACGGTGAGGGTAGTCGTAGTTGTAGACGAGGCGTCTTGGGGGGCATCGTCGTGACCCAGCTGCTTGGAGGCACCAGGCGCAGGGCTGGATTGTGAGGGCACATCTGGAAAGCGTGTCAGTAAGATGCCACGATTATGGGCAAGCGAGAAGATATGTACCGCCCCAGGGAGAGTTTTCTGCGTCGCCCAGATCCATTGGCGCGGTGAGGAGATGTACGAGACGAAGGGCGGCGGTGGTGCGAGTTTGTGGTCGTATGGATGTAGTTGGATGGTGTCGCATCCGGCTATGACATATGTACAAGGCTCCACTAAGCACCAAATGGCCCGGCCCTCCCCTGCCTATACTCTACCAATGTACATAAGTTCTCTACACCCACGTTGACACTAAACTTGTAATTGATTGAGATTCTATGTACTACTAGTACACCCAGAAATTCTTTCCATCCCAGCTCTAATCGTTCCAAGTACCTGTTCCATCCCCTCACATATTGGATCCGCCCAGACTCGCTTTCCCATGCTCGCAGGTATAGCAGACCTTTCCATCCTTCGAACCCAGCTTCATTGTCCCCATGGTTAGACCCATGCGCTTGCCCAGATGCACAACCCAGCTTTCCACAAAGATGGTCGAGCCTACCGGCGCCGGCCTTACGTACGTGCAGTTGACTTTGGGTGTCAGTTAGCAAGGTTCTGACAAGGACTTGGAAAATACGACGTAATATCAGGGCATTTCAACTCCCACACACAACGCAGCACTTACTGCCAAATATTAGCAAGACGCGCCATCCATTTGGCATTCAATAACCTACCGATTTCGTGAAACATTACCACCATCCCAGAACCCCTCGCGCGCACACGGCAAAATAGTCAGCGACGTCGCGATGTCAAAGACCAATGCTACCGCGCCTCCATGAAGATTGCCTCCAATGTTGCAGAGTTCCTCTGGCACCACAAAGCTGAAAACTGTGCGCGCATCATGCGGATTCTCACTAGACGGCGTATACGTGACTGATTCTAGCTTGAGTATCTTGGCAACGATGGCATCATGGCCCTATGTTACCACTCTATTAGAGCCCGGACTTGGAGTTTTGGGCAAGAAACAAACATACATTATACTCGAAGCCATTAATCACGTCAAACTAGCATTTCGCGACGGTCATGTCAGCAAGACATGATGTAGGTGGAGAGAGATGGACAAACCCATTGCTTGACTTTGTCAGTAGGCGAATCAGAAAAGGCACCGCCAAACCTGGGACCTTTCTTTGTTTCCGAATCACTCATGTTGTAAAGGAAAGGCTCTTGTAGAACATACGGGAAGGGGGTCTGAGACGCCCCTAAGGAGGCGGCCGGGGGTAGGCATACATATGATACAGACAGGCGGACCTCGGTATTTGTGAAATACAACGCTAAACCCTTTTGGGCATCAGCATTAGAAATTCTATGTAATAGTTCACGACTTGACTTGTCGTCTCCAATTCAGCGCACCAAGACCGCCTGCTCGCCGTCACAAATTATAAAGCCATGGATCCCTCCATACTATTCCGCCAGCTCCTCCGCATGCCCGCCGCCCACCGCAATGTCCTCCTACAACCCACCCGCCCACACATGCGCGCATTCGCAGCCTACACACAACCCCTCACACAACCCCGCTACCTATCTGTTCCACGCATCGTCCAGCCCAGTTTCTGGGCTTCGTTAATTCCGAAGCCACTCAAAACACGCGCTGAGACACCCCGCTCCAAAGAATGGAATCCCGCCACACCATACATTATTCTCGGCCTGCTGGTCGGCAGCCAAGCCATCCAAATCTTATGGCTGAAACAGGAGCGTAATCACGACTTGCGCAGGGCAGAAGCCAAGATTGGGATCTTGCGCGAGGTCATTGAGAGAGTGCAAAGGGGCGAGAAGGTGGATGTTGAGGGGGCTTTGGGTACAGGTAATGTAGTGGAGGAACGGGAGTGGAAACAAGGTGAGTTCTTTTCGTATTCTGATGGGCTTGGTATGGAAGACTGATGTGTGGAATAGTTTTGAAAGACATACAAGATGAGGAGGCGCTGTTTCAGAGCAAGAAGAAGAGAAGGGCTATGAGAGAGGCAGCACTACAGGAAGAGGCTACAGAGAAGAAGACGGGTCAAGAAAGTACAAAGAGTCAGGATCCCGCGAAGATGCAAGTGGAAAGTGTGGGTGGAGTTAAATTCTACTGAAAAAAAAGCAATGGGTTACTCCTCTGTTGAAAAGAGAAGAAGATAAAACATGATCGCATGGGGTATCGAAGAATGAAATCCCCGAAGGCTTCGGAACCAGCCGCCAGCCAGAGATGTGAAAACGCCCGAAGTGAATATCGAAAAAGAAGAAGAAAGAAAAGCAACAAAGAGCATCGCAGTAGTACCTCCCATTACTCAAATTCCTCAGGTCCCTCGGATTCCTCAGATTCCTCAGATTCCTCAGGCTCCTCAAGCTCCTCAGGCTCCTCACCCTCCTTAGGCACATCAGGAACCTTAATACCCAACTCCTTCAGAGCCTTCAGCTTCATCCCCCTCTTCCTATTCCCCGTATTGTTCGATTTCTTGGTAGCCGCCCTCGCCGTAGGGTTATCGCACAACAGCCTCAGTGTGATACCACCTCTCACCGCATCATCTACGACGGCCTTTTGCTGCTGCAGCGCCATGCAAATACACGTGAGTCTCTTCTCCAGACACTTCTCGCCCAGATCAATAAGCTTTCCCCGCTTGGCTTCCTTGTAGTAAACCATCGACCTGTTCCATCCAACCTCGTGCACAGCGACGGCGCGGTCAAAGATGTGGTGTGCCGTGGCTTCGAGGTCCCAGGGCTCATGGGCTTGGTCTTTCACAATACGGCGGCGGTGGGGCGAATCTTTGCCATCGTCTATGTTGGAAACATCGATCATGGATTCGTAGATGCGGCGGACCCAGTAATCACCTGGGGGCGTACTAGTTAGACTTCCCCGTGGAGAGGGAGGGAGAGCAGGAGGGGGGTCAGGGTGAAGAGTCGACTTACGTCCGAAATGCTTTACCCGCAAGAGATCTGGTGCTCCTTCCTTGATCATTCCGCGTGAACGTTTGCGCCAGGCCTTGGCTTCTTCTCCTGTGGCAAAGCGGTTGCTAAATGGGGGATATACCGATCTGGGTCCGTTTGGATTAGGGGGGAGAATGTCGTCGTTGATAAATGGGACGTAGTTTTGTGCAGCTAACGGTACGTTGTTGGTATTACCCAGTGAGGTTGCGGGTACAGGGGGCGCAGTGGCGCCGGTGGATGTGTTGGTTGCAACAACAGGCGGAGGTGCCATATAAGCAGTGGCAGCAGGAAGAGGAGGAGGAACCGTAGTAGTAGGAAGGAAATGAGCGGATGTAGAAGCTTGAGCCGATGCTCGACTTCGCTTTGATGCGGGAACGGATGCTGAAGCTCGACTTCGCCTTGGTGCAGAACCGGATGGCGATGCCCGATTACCCCTTCGTGCGGGAGCAGATGTCGATGCTCGATTTCGCCTTGGCGCGGGGACAGGTGCTGGAGTTGGAGCTGGTGGAGCTGGAACTGTAGGAGCAGGTACGGCCCGTCGGAAACCCTGACTGTTCATGAACTGTTGGTAAATTGCATCCATATCTGATTGCCCGAGATTGCCTGCATGTGGTGATGGGTTTGTTGGCCCGACAGGGTTGACTGAACCAGCTTCCTCGACATGGACATGGTCGAATCCATTGCTTCCCTCGCTGTGGGGAGTCGCCTGCGACGCATGCTCACTGTCTGAGAAAGTGTAAGGAACCTCTTGCGTGCCATGTCCGCTCACATTCGCACTCTGGCCAAAGTTTTTTCCTGGTTGTGCCAAGAACTGGTTGTTGTTGTTGTTGTTGTTCTGGACGAAGATGAAGTCGTTTGGCTGTGTCGAAAAGTCATTGTGAACAAAGACGAAGTCGTTTGCGTGTGGTGAGACCTCGTTCTTGACTTGATGGCCAGTGGCATAGTTCTGCGGTCCTGCCGAGAACTCATTCTGGCCATTCTGGACAAAGCCATATGTACCAGGCACAGTCGAGGATCCGTTGTAGGCGTTCTGTCCACTGCCATAGAAGTTGGTCATGACACCACTGCAATTCGACTGTAACCCCTGAACCGGCTGAAGCGATGCCGGAGTCCCGAAGCTGTTTGCAGCCGGCAAAAACCCGGTGTTCTGGAAGTCGAATCCCTCGCTGAGAAAGTTGAAAGGTCCAGTCAAGGTAGCGTCGAGACCGTTGGAGTTGAAGTTCACACCGAGCCCTGCACTTCCTTCTCTTCCTATTCCATTATCAATCGGAGCTTGTACAAAATCGGCAAAGAAATCGGGAAGACCGAATAGGTCCCCAGGACCCATGTTCAGTGCCGGTTCATTCGCTGGCTGCGACCATGTACCGGATACCTGTGGTGCATGCGTGACTGGAGCAGAGATAGGAGCAGAAACAGGAGCGGGAGCAGGCGTAGTAGGAACCTCGACCACCTCATGAAGCTCATCCCACACAAGCTGAGGCAAGTTCTCCAGCGGCTCCGCAGGAAGATCAAAGAAGGCATCGAAATCCTCATCCAGCAAGCGGTGATTCGCGTCTGAAAAGTTGAAAGACTCGGGAGTCGCCTGCGACACCCCTGCAGTGTTCTGTGGCTCACCAGGAGCAGCAGTGGCACCACGTGACGCCATACCTTCTCTCTCTCCCCTTCTATACTCGCGTATAAAGAAGCAAAGACGTGTGGGGATACCAGATCCCTCGTTCACAAAATCGCGTAGAAACGACGGTGCCAGCCCGTACAAAAAAGAAAGCGTAGAATACTGCTTGTTGGAAAAAGAAGGAGAAGAAGAAGAAGAAGGAGAAAAAGAACTTGCAAACTCCAGAAAGTAGAGTACAGAAGAAGAAAAAGGACTCAGAAGCGAGAAGGTAGAAGAAGTTAGAAAAGGCAGACGGCGAGCAAGCAATTATAAAAGCAGTCAAAAAAAAATCCCCCCCTCTTCAACCTCACCAACCCTCCTCACCTCATCACTACAATACCCCCCCTCATTGTCCAACAACAGTCTTACCACCTATTATCCCAACACAACAAACAATAATACCCCACTTTTCCCCCCACAGCTTCTATTCTTTCCACCAGAAGCTATTGTACCTTGCCAACTACCAACGTAATTAGTTGTGTTTGGCGTTATTGTGCTGGGGAGGGGGGAGGCTGGGTGCGGTGAGGAGTAGTAAAGTGAGTAAGTAAGTAAGTGAGTGAGGGCACGGTCCGGGGGGAGATAGGCAAGTCTGGGTGTGCACGCGGCTGAAATAAGGATTGTGAGCTGTGGGGGTAGAGAATGAGAGTGTTTGGATTCGAGGGGTTTTTTTTTGGTATTGTTGTGGGTGCGATTGTGCTGGGGAAGGGGCACGCGGTCGAGGGCGTGTGTACAGCAGTGGGGTTTGCAGTGAGAAAGATGGTGGGTACGGGGGTAGATGTATTCAAACGCTTCATACACCCCCCCCACCCAACTTGAATTCGTCTGCGTATAGAACGGGTCATGCGTGGCATGGAAGCAACAGCACAAGTATGGATGTTATTCAAGTGACTCTAGAAGCACA